AACAGCAGCCAGAGTTAAAAACCCCACCTTAGAATCTACCTGTAAAAATCCACCCTTCTTTCTCTTCCAGAATATGCACTTCCGCTCAATTCTGGAATTTCCACATTTTTATAGGCAGAGCCTATGTGAGACTCTCCAAGCTGACCTTTACTGGTACCTAGTGGCTGCAACTGCAACCCCCTTGGCTAGAGTGATCCCCGCCCCCAACCCCAGGAGAACTGCAAGGGAGCAGGGCAGGCCCGGCTGCCGTTCCAATCTGGCCTTCAGGTTCAAGGTGGACCTCTCAGCTCACTAGGGTACCCAGATCAAAAAGGGCCAGAAACCGACTTTTTCCCTCCCCCAGCCTCTGACCCACGCTGCTTTTAGACCACTTTTGCTTAAGAAAGGGCTCAGCGGAGATTTCAGGTGAGGGTTTCAGTCGAATCTGCAAGGCTGCCTACCTGTCTGTCTCTCGGTGACTCTCCTCACCAAGGCGACACCCGCTGCGGCAGCTCTGCACCCCATCTCGTCCTAACTTAAACAGACTCCGGAAATGAAAAGGGTCTGCTCAGGACCTCGAGGAAGGCAAGAGCTCCGCGATGGGCTCCGGCTGGGTGCATCTTGGGGTGGCTGGGGTGGGCGGGGCCTACTCCTTTAGGAGACCAGACTTCTAGAACCCCCTCGGTGCTTTCTCCCAAGGAGTCCTTTGCCCGAAGACGTTGCCAGCGGTCCACGCCTCCCTGCAGACCCAAAAGGAGAGGAAGTCCTCACCTCTTTCCCCAAATCCCTCCCCTCTGGGAAGCAAATTCATCGGATACTTCGGCGTATAAATAGAAAATAATTACTAGTGAGGTAGTGATGTTCCTTCGCCTATTTTTGGTGGGTCTCTTTGTTCAGATTTTTTTTTTAGGCAGGCGCACGGAGTGCGTGCACACACACGCGCACACACAAGCCCCAGGCGAAGGTGGGGGGGGGGCGAGGAGGAGGGGGACACACGGCGACTTTGTGGCCCAGACTGCCAAGGAGGGCAGAAAAAGCTCACGCCCCGGCCTTGCAGCTGTTTGCAGGCGGCCTGTAGCTCCTCCAGCCCCGTGCGCCCGGACCTCACACCAACCGCTCGCCTCTCTCCAGACCCGGGGTTGCGTCCTCCCTCCCGGCTGCGTCCTCTGCCGCCAAAGTTACTGTGTTGTGCGAATCAATTTAGATACTTATAAAAAGCAAAAGGCAAATAGCTCCATTAATCCCCCAAATGCCTTCTCCCATCTGCTGCGATTTGCCCGTGCTGGGACTTGCATAATGAATGAGGCAAACGGAAAAGTTAACGAATCAGGACGCCTGGGAGGTGAGGTACCGCGGGGCGGGGGCTCCCTCCGGCCCCGGGAGTCCACGTCAGCCCGGGCAAGGGGAGCAGAGTGCGGCGACCTCTGCTGAACCTGGCAGGGAGAAGTAGTGGCGGAAGAAAGGAGCGAGGGGGTCAAGGGGACGCAAGCACCCGAGGTTCTGATTCCCCGGAACTGCAACGACCCTTCGCAGCTCCGGGAAGCGAGGCGGCCGCCCCAAGCGAGGCTTTTGTTCTCGCCCTCCCTCTCCGCCTCCCTCGCCTCATTTTCGCGAGTCGTACGAGTTGCAGGCGGCACACACACTCCCTACCTCCCGAACACGCGCGCGCGGGTTCACACACGCCCCCCTTTCCTTTCGGGTTCGTCAGCCCTTGTTTACCTACAGGTTTGCATCTGGAATCCGAGGGGCGTATGAGCCCCCTCCCCAAAACCCAAGACTTCGGGGCCAGTGGTTCCCAAGCTGTGTGTCTCAAGCCTGCTTTAGTCTTGGGCAAGAAGGGGAGGCAAGAGGGCGAAGGAGACAGAGACCACCCCCCAACACACACGCTCATACCCACACCTGCGGTGAGCCCAGCGCCCCCCCCCCTCCACGCACAAAGCTGAAGTTGGCTTCCGGGGGGACACCCCTAGAGAAGAGACTGAGGGGGATGCAGTTGCCTGGAGGTAGTGGGAATGGGGGAGAGGAGGGAGAGCGGCGCCCGAGGCGCGGGGAGGGCGAAGGGGGAGGCAGCCCACCTGGACATGTGCTCCCTTTGGGGCCGGTGCGCCTTCTCCAGCCCCAGCTTGGTGAAGATGCCCACAAGCACCATGACTGCCACCACCCCGCAGATGATGTAGACGATCAGGTTGGTCTTGTCCTTGGTGGGGTCGTGCAGGGGGTCGTCCTTGCGCGCAGGGGGCTTGCCGGTGTTAAGCCAGAGCGGCGTGTCGTAGTTGGTACAGGTGCTTTGGTTCAGTCGCCGCTTCTTAAACGTGCAGCAGAACCGGAAGCCACAAGTCCCGCAGCAGAAGATGAAGTCGCCCGAGCTGCAGTTGAACGGTGGATCCCACTGGCCCATGACATCGAAGTAGCCCCGGCAGAAGTCCGGTGTGGGCGCCCGGGTTGGAGGCGCGTCCGAGACCCCCGCGCCCTCGCCAGCCTCCCCGGAGGCGGCCCCGGAGCGGTTGCTGCCCGCCAGCACCAGCACGCCGCCCAGTTGCGCCAGCTGCCCGTGCCCCGCTCGCTCCTGCGCCCGGCACACGCGGGCGCACAGCTCGGTGAGAAAGCAGCCGAGGAGCAGCCGGAGGACGCGGCGCATCGTGTCTCCCAGCCCGGGCTCTGCCGCTCGGCCGCCGCTGG